TTTTGGAAAAGCTAATTATTGGCATATATTTTGTATCGAAAAGTGCAGAATAAATAATTTACTAACATTAACAACCACTAAAGTTCTTTAAAACTCAATATTTGTAAAAGTTAGCAACTTTTTCTAGATATTCATAACTTTCATTTATTTACATATAGCCTGCGGTTTCCAACCTGTGGGCCGCGTCCCCCAATCAAAAAATAATTAGTTTTAATGCATATTTTTACATAATATTGCACATTAATTTAAAGTCTAAAAATATCAATTGAGTATTTAAAAAATTAAATTTTTGAAAAGATTAATGGGAGGACCCAATATTTTTTTATTAGAACAGGATGCAGAAAATGTTGGAAACCACTGCATTATAGACGAGCTTCCTAAAATTGATCGTTTGTAAACTGTAATTAAATATTGCAGTTACTAATTATTGCATTACGATTTTACACATAATTTTTCCAATTCGGTGTCAAAAGATTCAGAATGACTTAAACCGTCAAGATAACAAAATTAACTAATCGGGTTGAAAACAAATACTAAATGAAATATTTTTTTTATCAAATTTTAAGATTGATTAGTAGTGGTTTTAAATAAAAAGTTCTAATTTTTTTAACTATTAAAATAATTAAGTAGTTTAATAATAATAAAGAGAAATATTTTATAAAATCTAAAAATTAAGTTGAAATAAGATAATATCAATGAATTGGGGTAGCTATATATAAATAATTGTACTATGAAGTATAAAAATATAATTATTTAATTTTTTGTAAGTATATAAAAATGAAAAGTAATTACCTAGAAAAAAATTGCTAACTTTTACAAACATCGAATTTTAAAGAATTTTTAGTGGTTAATATTAGTGGACAATAAGAAGTCCAAAAATTAAATAAAGATATGAAATATGTATTAACTTCTCTTAGGGCAAGTTATAGCAATCGCAAAAAAAAATCGAAAATGAAAATGTTTATATATCTTTACGTTTTAGACGTTCCTGAACATTTTGGCATACCTTATAAAAAATGGATGTATGTGTGTGTGTGCGTGTGTGTGTGTATTCGCATACAAATTTTCGTCGACGATTTCGGGAACACGGATGAAGCGATTTGAATAATTATAAAAACATTCGATTCGTATTGATGAGGAGACGTGCTGATTAGTTTTTGGCGAAGGCAGGTCTAGCCGTTCCGAAGATATGGGGCAAAAAGTGCCAAAAACGGTAACTAAGTTTTTAAGAGAACGGAGCGTCCGATTTGAATAATTCAGAAAACATTTTACTTGTAGTAACAACTGAACTTGAAGAACTGATCCAATTTTCATGAAGGCAGGTCTAGCGGTTTCGGAGATCTAGTAAAATAACGCCATCTGGCGGTCAAAAATGGTCATTAGACATGTGTACATCAAATTATCAGATTTTATAGAGATTTTAACAATAAGTATAAATTTTGTTTACATTCTTATAGGTTCCATATCAATGTTTATTCGTTAGACGACGACGCGGCGCTTACGCGCTTTGACATTTTGTCTCTATGCAGATAAAGCAGTACGATTGCTTTGAAAAAAAGTTAAGAATTTCTAAAATATTTCAAAATACACTTTTTCTTCAAAAAGTCTTTTTTTCAAAAAAAAAGAAAATTTTTTGTCAAAAATTTATAGTTTCTCAAAAATCTAATTTTTCAAAGTAATTTTTTTTCAAAAATGTTAATCTTTAAAAAAAAATAATTTTTGGTACGGAAAGTTCCAGCAATTTGCCTTAAGGCACGATGCCATGCGCCCCACTAGTTGAACTAATAAGAGTAAAAATATAATTATATAATGAGCACATCTTTTGCATGTATATAAAAGTTAAAAGTAATTACCTAGAAAAAAATTGCAAACTTTTACAAACACTGAATTTTAAAGAATTTTAGTGGTTAATATTAGTAGACAATAAGAAGTCCAAAAATTCAATAAATAATATAAAATATTTATTTAAAATTATAAAATATTTCATCTACGACATATTAAGAGATTAAAATGAAAATGCTTTACAAAATCAAAATGGATTCCTATGGGATTCTTATAGTACAATAATTGATAAAATTTTGAACAAAAATAATAAAATTGTGGTAAAATATTAAACAAAACTTATGCTTCTTTGTACATAAGCATATATAAATCACTAGAACACTAATTATTGTTAAAATTGATATTAACCGGAAAAATAATATTAGAAATAAAAATGTTTCACAAAATCAAAATGGATTCCGACAAGATTCTTATAGCTCACCTCCCCAATGAAGCAATTTACTTTGGATAAAATATTTAAACAAAAATGATAAATTTATAATAAAATATTAAGAAAAAATGTATTAACAACGACTTGTATGTATAAAACATGTATAAAAACCCTCATGGCACGACTATTTATTGTTGAAATTAATACTAAGCGTTAAAATTAATATCAGAAATGAAAACGAAAATTCATGACAAAATCAAAATGGATTCCGACAAGATTCTGACCGTATTCTGACGGTGCACGTCCCTCATGACGCAATTCACTTTTAATAAAATATTTAAACAAAAATGATAAAATTATGCCAAAATATTATCCAGATCTTAGGTATCTTTGCATATATCAATATACATAATGCATTAATGACGACATGTATGTATAAAAGGTGTATAAAAACCCTCGTGGTCCGACTAACCTTACATACGCACGTTGAAAATTACAACACCCAAATATCGACATTTAACAACATATATATTAAATTAACTATTTACCACTCACCTTTTAACATCATCAGGGGCTCCATTGCCGATTGATAACACAAATCACTCGCTAGAACACTAGTTATCGTTAATATAAATTTTTACCCGAATTTTATGCCGGTCATTTTGATACTGAACGTGATAATTTATTTGACAAGAGTTGCCAATTGCGACAAAAAAATGACACCTATTAGTGTTGCCCGATGCGAACGAAAGGGTTGGCGGTAATTGTTGTAATTTGACAGTTGTGATATTAATATTTATAATTTTATTTTTATAAACACTTTCTGAAAAAATATGGTTATTTAATTTTTTGTTTATAATTGTTTATACGTTTTGGTGATATGAGATGTGTATGTCTTCAGGAGTTGTTAAAAACAAACAACTAAAAATTACTCTTACTAAACATAAACTCTTACTAAAAATTGATAATATTTTGAGTTAAAGGTGACATATTATAATAATTAATATATAACAGAATCCCTGTAGAAATATTATTGCTATTATAGTCAATCAAAATACTGAAGAACCTTAACTCAAATATTTACAATATATTGTCATTAGATTCTTTATCATCGATGAATGTTTACAATTCACATTTCTGATCATAATTTATAGTTACAAGTATTTTAAGTGTATTGATTGACCATAATAACAATAATATGTTGATTCTATGATATAGTCATTAATATAATATATTGTTATACAAATATTATATATATTATATATATATTTACGATTCAAATTTCAGATGATTCTGACAATTGCCAGAAGATTTTGCATTTTTAAAGTCATTTTTTTAATGCTACAGCTTTACTTGTTGTCCATTTCAGGCCAGGTGTAAAAAATACTATATAATAATTATAAACAATTTGAGTTACTTAGTAGAAGCAAAAAAATAGAAGAATGGTAATTTTGTTTTTAAACCAAATTATTTTGTATATGTAGAATAAATCACATTGTTCATAATAATTATCAAAAGTGATTGTTTTTTTTTTTAATGTTTAAATATTTAAGAAGTGTATATATGTACAAATAAATGTTTTGTTTGTTTTAATAGTTCCTGAAGTAGGAAACATTCCATATCTCCAAAACGTAGAAATACATTATAAATGAAAAATTAAATACAAACTAAGTTTGTGTTATATATATATATATATATATATATATATATATAAATAAACAGAGGCTTAATGGACATGAAATCAAAAACAATAATATCTATAGAAAATCTTAAGTAACTTAAACTTATACATTGAATTATACGACTTATACATCGATGTCGAAACATATTGTTGAGAGTTTTTCTGCCAAATAAAAAACGATAAATACTTGAAATTATTTATACTTTTTGACACTGTATGTGTGCCATCATTCAGCATTTAATTCATATCAGGAGGAACATATATAGAAATAAACCTATATACAAATTAATTTTAAAACCTTATTAATTGTACTATATTTATATCTAAGTTATGCATATATTATTTAATTACAAAAAAGGTTTATTTCTATTTACAATGTATAAAGGTTTATTTATGCCTATTTTTTTTATCCAATTACTTATAGAATGCAATAATCTAAATATTATGCAATGTTTAAAGAAAATTGTGTTCTTCCTGGTATAAACTTGCTGCATGATGAGACACATACAGTGTCGAAATGTACATAATAAATAAATAATTCCAAATATTTAAATATTTGAATACTCAAATATATATATATATATATATATATATATTATATATATATATATATATATATAGTAACACCTGTGAAAATTATTTAATTATACTTGTACTTTATAATTATTAAATATATTTATTTATTTTTATTAAAAATTTATTGCCAAATTGTTTATAAAAGTAACAAATAATTGATCTCGTTTATTTATCTAAATCATAAATCTAAATATATTTTTTAAATTTAATTTGTCAGTTTATCGTGATATGGCACATTTATTGTCATTTTTTTTCAAGAATTTTGTTCATTTGGCATTATTAATTAATTAATTAAAATTATTTGGTACATTTTTGGTTTTATAACTATATACAAAAATAGACAAAGACTATTTTTGATAGTCGGCAGTGAAGAGAATATATACATGTAGAAAAATAATTTGAGGCACTGGATTTGTGTTATTTATATATACTCTAAATATATTATAAAGAATTTATTTATCTCTCGAAACATTTATATATATATATATATATATATATATATATGTATATATAAATGTTTCTTCTCTCATCTGTCTACTTAATTAGTATCACATCATGTCAATGAGTGATTCTACGCACTGGCTGGTGTTGTGGTCGTGGTCCTCAGCTTCTTTCCTTTTCTTCGTTTCTTACCATTTGCCGACCTCAAATGGGAGGCTCCCGTCCTTTGACGGAATGGGTCCCTTGGAGAGACCCCTTGGGCACCTGAAGTCAGGTTGGACGGATAGTGGTGCTCTGGACTTGCCAACTGCTGTTGCAACCTAGGAAAAAATAGATAAATATATAATATATATATATATATATATATATATATATATATATATGATTGTATTATTATTTCTTACCTGCTGTCCCTCAGAAGTTCGTCCATCAATCTCCTGTAAGTATCATCAGATTCATCAAACGAAATGCTGGCCAAGTTACCACCAGATTGTTGTTGGAATGTTGTGAGTGCCCTCAACAGCTCTGCATTATCACCGCTTGTGCTTGTCCATGTGAATCCACCTCTGCGTTGCAAATCTTCCATCAATTTAGCAAACTTGGGATCATTTGGATCTAATGTGAACCACTGGATACCTAAGAGAAAAAGATACTAATTATCTAAATCTAGACAAACTGTTTATATATTTATTTTTTAGTAATTATACTAAAAAAAACAACTATCAAACTATACTCTATAGTAAAATTCATAGATAATTCAACATGCAGATGTTTTTTTTTTGCCATTTTTCTAAAATTTGTCATCAGAGCTATCATTCTATAAATCCTCTTCAAAATTAAAAATAAACTAGTGGGGTGGGTGGCATCGTGCCTTAAGGCAAATTGCTGGAACTTGCCGTACCGTAACGAAATGTTCGAGGAATATTGAATATTTTCAAATAGATTATTATAAATATTGCAACATTGTTTAATATTTATAAGAATTATATCAACTGAATTGCAGAGTTGAAATTATTTTTTTAAAGTATATTAAAGCTATAGTCAGAATTAAAAATAAAATCTGAATTATTTTCGATATACAAAAAATTAAAAATTAAAAAAAAAATAAAAAAAATGGAACAATTTTTTTTTCCAAAATCAATTGTTTTGTTAAGACAAGCAGAAAGTTCTTTGAATCAATTGAATGGGACGCTTAGTTCTCTCAAAAACTGCCATTTTTTGTACATTTAGCTCTGTATCTCCGAAATGGCTGGGCCTGCCTTTGCGAAAAACTAATAACCCCTTCTCCCAATCATTACTAATTGAATGTTTTTTAGATCATTCAAATCGGATACTCCGTTCACTCAAAAACTCGATTTCTATTTTCTGCACTCATTGCTCCGTATCTCCGAAACGGCTGGACCTGCCTTCGCCAAAAACTAATCAGCTCTTTTCCCTATCAATAGGAATCGAATGTTTTTTAAACCATGATCCGTACGCCCGAAAACGTGGGCGAAAATTTGTAACCATACATACATACATACACACACACACACATCCATTTTTTCTGAAGTATGCCAAAACGTTCAGAAACCTTCAAAACGTCAAGAAATGTAAAAATTTTCAATTCGGCCCATTAAAATAACTTACCCTACGGGTAGTTAAATAGTGGCCCTTGTTGCCCCTTTCTACGCTATATTTCTTTTACCTTGTTGTGAGAATCGAGGATCTGATGGATCGAATTGACCATGTTGGAATGATGAGCTTTCTGATCCACCATGGCCAGAGCCTTGCTGGTATCTAGGATCGGAAGGATCATAATGTCCTGCTTGACCTGATCCATGTTGATCACGTCCTGATTCTTGGAAGTACCTCGGATCAGATGGATCATACTGGCTGGAGCCGGAGTGTCCTGATTGGTGATATCTGGGATCTGAAGGATCATACTGCCCTTGCTCGTGAGAGCCTTGGAAGAACCTGAAAAAAAAGTTATTAGTCTGCGTATTGTAAATGCATTCTATTGTTTGTATGATCTTTTATTACCTTGGATCTGTAGGGTCAAATCCTCCTTGTGAAGAACCCTGTTGTGAATATCTTGGGTCTGAAGGATCGTAATGTCCTCTGCTTCCGCCATCCTGAGATCCTTGGTGGTATCTTGAGTCGTAGCTGCTGGATTCGCTGTGGTTGCTTCGAGAAGCATTGTATCTAGGATCACGTTCATCTACACGTCCATAAGGATCTTGTTCGTGATCAGGTCTGCGTCCATATGGATCTTGTTCATCTGGACGTCTTCCATAAGGATCTTGTTCATCAGGTCGGCGTCCATAGGGATCTTGTTCATGGTCAGGTCTGCGTCCATATGGGTCTTGTTCGTCTGGTCTTCCACCATAACGATCTTCGGATTCAGTACGCCTGTCATGGTCTGGTCTGCTTCCATAAGGATCTTGTTCATCAGGTCTTCTGCCATAAGGATCTTGTTCATCTGGTCGTCTTCCATAAGGATCTTGTTCATCTGGTCGTCTACCATAAGGATCTTGTTTGTCAGGTCGTCTACCATAAGGATCTTGTTCGTCAGGTCTTCTGCCATAAGGATCTTGTTCATCTGGTTGTCTTCCGTATGGATCTTGTTCTGATGGTCTTCCACCGTAGCGATCTTCTGATTCGGTGCGTCTTCCGTATGGATCTTGTTCTTCTGGACCTCTGCCATAAGGATCTTGTTCTGATGGTCGGCTTCCGTATCTATCGTCGGAGCCAGGACGGCCTCCATAAGGATCTTGTTCACCTGGTCTGCTACCATAAGGATCTTGTTCATCAGGTCGTCTGCCATAAGGATCTTGTTCGTCTGGCCTTCTGCCATAAGAACCTCGGTCCTCAGGTCTGCCACCATATCGATCTTGGTCTTCTGGTCGACTACTATAAGGATCTCGGTCTTCTGGTCTGCCACCATATCTATCTTGGTCTTCTGTTCTTCTACCGTAAGGATCTTGTTCGTCTGGCCTTCTACCATAAGGATCTTGCTCTTCTGGCCTTCTACCGTAAGGATCTTGTTCGTCTGGTCTTCTACCATAAGGATCTCGGTCTTCTGGTCTACCACCATATCGATCTTGATCTTCTGGTCTTCTATCATAGGAACTTTCACCTGGTCTGCCATAACGATCTCTTCTGTTGCAAACAAAAACATAAGTATTAAATTCAACTCTTTTGATATCTCAAATTATTGTGACCCACCTATCTTGTGAACTTGAAGAGTAAGGATCTTCAGGCACAACTTCATTCTCTGAAGTCACAGGGTAACCACCTCCAATTTGTCCGCGAGATGAGGATGACCCACCAAATGTACCAGGAGCAAATGATCTCGAATAGCGTTTGCGCATACAAACGGCACATCTATCAAAAATCCATCGATTAGTAGAGACATCAGATGAAAGAATTTTATAATACAGTCTTTTTTATTACCTGCTGACTTTATCGGTAACATCTGCACTCTTGGCTTCTGATATTGGTTTCTCGAACATCTCATGTTCCTTGATTCCTGCCAACCAGTAAGAGTTGGCAGTGGCGTACTTGTTACATCTACCATGACCATGACATTCGATGAACGGTGAAGCACGGAATTTCTCCAGACAAGATCCAGGAGATGATAAGGATTGGCCGGAGCCTTCTGCGCCAGCATCGGTGTGCTGTAAGGAAAAGAAAAAATCAATATTTTTCGATTTGTGGTATATAAATTAATTCAAATACTAACCATCAAGAAACTGTAACCAGTCCATAATAGTTCCCAGGATTCTGGACAATCAGGAATGTCACTTGACTGGCTGTGCAAAGCAACCAATCGACTAGGAGCCTCACAAACAGCACAACTGAATAAAAAAATATTAATTGTATTATTGAAATTGCAAAATTTATAAAAATGTAGTCCTGATCTGTTGTAAAAAATAAATTACCTAGATATGTATGGAGCAACATCAGTAGCTGGTATAAATTTAACATTCTGTGGCATCGGCACATCAGTCGTCAACCAGTACGAGTAATCAGTTCTTTGAGCAACATTGCACACATTCTTTGAATCACAGAACAAATATGGCATTGTGCTAAACCTACGCATACAAGATCCAGGAGCACCTATTGACAAAATCACAACATTGCAACAACACGTCTCTGATTCCACTCTCATTTATCGTTTCATCAACATACCCAAATCTTGACCATGAACCTTTCCATTTCCAGTGATATGCAACAAGGAGTATCCGGTCCACATCTCGCTGGTTCCTGCAGGACAGATTGTTCCGGCAGTTCTACCACCTTGAGCATGCCTTGCGAATAATAGAGCTCTTTGTCTGGGTGGTGGCGGTGGTGGAGCATCGTCACCAGGAAGACCGCGGACTCCTGGGTAACCAGGTTGACCCGCAAGACCTTGAAGACCTGGAAGACCGACTATTCCAATGGGACCTGGCTGACCAGGTGGTCCTAGAAGAAATAAAGTTGAAAATCAAGAAATAATTTATATAAAGTTTATTCATGAAGTGAATTATATGTATAGATGTGTTACCTGGACGTCCTGGATATCCAACTTCTCCAATTTCACCAGTAGGTCCATCCAAACCTGGCAAACCTGGGTTACCAGTTTCTCCTCTCCATCCAGGGGCACCTGAATTAAACAAGATATAATTAAATAAATTATAGTAAATCGACAAATGTTAAATATTTTTAATATAAGTGTCTTTAAAGGATTGATTTAGAAAGTTTAAATTTTTGAGGTTTGACAAAAAGTTATAGAATAAATACAAACAATATATTTAAAATTATAAAGTATTTTACCATCAAATCCTGGGTCTCCTCTTTCTCCCTTAATCAACATGTAGGATGGATAAGCGTCTCCTCTGTCACCCCGAGGACCTTTCAAACCGTGCAAACCTGGTAATCCTTGAGGCCCTGGCTCTCCAGGCAATCCAGGAACACCTTAGTAAATAAAATTAGTTTATTAATAATATAATTATTTATTTAATGAAATAAGTAAAGATCAAAATAACTCTTCTGTTTTAATATGTGGAAGTTCCATTGATTTTAATAATAGGTACCTTTAGGTCCTGGTAAACCAGGTAGGCCGTCCAAACCATCATCTCCTCTCGTTCCTCGTTCTCCATCTCTGCCTGTAAACAAAAAAATATACTTTATTATTTCCAAAACTCATAAAAAGTTAATTTATAAATCGTATTTGAGATTCCTACCTGGCAGTCCACTATATCCCGGCATACCCTTCATTCCCTTGAAGCTGATGGCAGCAACACCCGGCTCACCCCTCATACCCTTCAAGCCGGGCAATCCAGGGAAACCTAAATAAAATATTCAACAGTAAGTAAAAAAAAAACAAATCTGTCATCAGAGTGTATTAGATCTTAGACTAACCAGATTGTCCTCTTAGCCCTGCAGCTCCAGGACGTCCATTGGGTCCTCTATATCCTTGATCACCAGCAAAGCCTTTAGGTCCAGCAAGTGAGAAACCTATTTCACCATCTGGTCCATCTAAACCGTCTAGACCGTAATCACCAGGTGCACCTAGAAATAAAATAATAAAAATGTATAAATCATTTTCAACAGTCTTGTCATATTTTTGTCCTCATTATTACCTTTAGCGCCAGGTAAACCATCCAAACCAGGAGGACCATCCAAACCTGGCCTTCCTTCCTCTCCAGGTTCAGCGTTTGATCCAGACAATCCCGGTAAACCAGGACGACCGTCTTCACCACGTTGTCCTTTAGGTCCAGGTGCTCCAATGATACCTTCTAATCCAGCATATCCAGTCTCACCTCGTTCTCCCTTGAGACCAATGTAACCCACAGCACCAGTCTCACCTAATTAAAAAAAGGTATCAGTATCCATAAATAGATATATACTCCATATATTTATATTTATACAATTATACAATGGTACATAACTTAAATTAATAGATAATGATACATACTATACTAAATGAAATATAATTAAAAAAAATAAATGTTCACTCAAAATCTTATTCTAAGTTTTACAGAATAATTTACTGAAAGTTATAACTCATCAATAGAGTAAAAAACTTGCTCTTTAAAAAATGTGTTGGGTAATTTATAAAATTTCCTATTTTCAACTTCCCAGACCATCTAAGGTATTAAATGAGGAGGCGAGTTTCAATGTGGGACATTTACAAGTTTATGTCTTGTGTCATAATATATTTGAAATATTAGATATGTGTTTATTACCTCGTTCTCCTTCGAGTCCAGTCAAGCCTCTGTATCCTGATTCACCTCGTTCTCCCTTTGTGGCACTGGCATAGCTGGCAAAACCTGGAGCTCCGGGGAAACCTTTGCGTCCAGGGATACCTGGGAGACCTCTTGCTCCTGGTACACCGATGTCACCAGGCATACCATCGCGACCCATTTGACCTGGATCACCTTGCATTCCTGGCAAAATAAAAACAAAATGAATTATTTTGTCTCAATATGATAAATTAATAATTGATTTATATACATACCGGTTAAACCTCTAGGTCCTGCTAATCCAGGTAATCCAGTCCAACCACGTTCTCCTTTCAAACCTGGACGACCATCTCTTCCTGGCCTTCCTGGGAAACCTTTAGGACCTGGCTCACCAGGTTCTCCCTAAAATAAAAAATACTTGTTGACTATGCAAATGTTAAAAGCAGTCGTAATTGCAAAATAATGACACTCACATTAAATCCATCAAATCCTCGATCTCCAGGAAGACCTGGAAGTCCAGCAGTTCCATTCAAACCAGCCCAACCTGGTTCTCCTTGCACACCCTGCCAACCCGGCTCTCCGTCAATTGATAAACCTTGATCACCAGCCTCACCTGACAAACAGAATAATCATATAAAAAGTGCTGCAATCTGGAGAAAACGATAATGTATAATATCTTACCTTTAAGTCCATCAAGACCCGGTAATCCATCATATCCTTGAATTCCAGGCAAACCAGGTTCTCCAACTTCTCCCTTAGGTCCACTGAATGAGTTCTCACCAGGCAAACCTGCAAGACCTGGCAAACCAGAGTCACCTTGCATTCCCTTGAATCCACGCACACCTGGACGGCCTTCTGCTCCCACATAACCGACATCTCCAGTAATTCCCTTGAATCCCATATCTCCCATAGGTCCAGGTTTTCCTGGTCTACCAGTCAAACCCGGTTCACCCATCATACCTTGTTCACCTTGTTCTCCATGTTCCCCAGCTCTTCCGGGAGCACCAAAATGACCTAGGGAAAAAAAATAATGACAATAAATTTGAGGCATGTGAAATTTGTTAAATTTTTTAGTGCAATTTACCTATGTAACCCTTGGGTCCGGCAAAACCATCAGGACCTCTACGTCCTTCAGCACCAGGTTCGCCCTTTTCTCCGCGTCTTCCTCTAAGTCCAGGAGCTCCATCAGGTCCTCTGCGTCCTTCTTCACCAAATTCACCAATAGCTCCAGGCTGTCCAGGAGCACCGGCGATACCTGGTAAACCAGGGATGGTATCTCCAGCATGACCTTTAAGACCCTACACAAATAAAAACACTCATTAATTTCTAAAAATGATATTGTATGTGTTATGCCTAAATAGCAACTTACAGTCATTCCCGTGTATCCGACAAGTCCAGGAGCTCCTTTAGGTCCTTTCATACCTTTAACACCATCAGGTCCAGGTCTTCCAGATTTTCCAGGATGTCCTTGGTCTCCCATCTCACCAGGCAAACCATCTAGACCGCCAATACCAGCGTCTCCAGGAATGTATGACACACCAACCTAAAAAGAAAAAAGCAAATGTGAATAGCACTAATTAATTCTTGTTCTTAAAAATTCTTGTTTTTCACCAATTTAATAGGTTTTAGAGATTAGGAACAAATCACCCATTTTTGTATAAGATCAATGTCTTTTTTTACACGTTTTTTTTTTACACGGTTTCTGGAACCAATCTCCGTGTAAAAACAGACTTAGGTGTATATATATATAAATATATATATATATATATATATATAATATATATATGTGTGTGTACTTATATATTTATGCATATATTCTTTTTCTTTTTTATTTATTTAATATCTAGTGTCTATTACCTTTTCTATCTTTTATATTTTGTTTGTTGTTAAGTGTTGCTGTTTTGTTAATTTTTCTCTTATTTTATAGCTACTATACCGATCCATATATATTATAATTACCTAGATATACTAATTTTTCATACTGTTTTTAGATCCACTGATGATGACATTAAATTGAATGTCGAAACGTTTGGAATTAAAGATTAATTTATAAATCTTTGCTTTTTATTCTTTGATGTATCGCCCCACAAGAACTTACTCATATATCTCAACAAATTAACAACTAAATCATATATATATATATATATATATATATATATTATATATATATATATGTATATATATATATGTATATATATATTATAATCGTCAAGATCATAAGTTATTAATCTTACATCACCACGGTCTCCTTTCATTCCCCATCTGCCAGGATAACCCTTAGGTCCTTCTTGACCTGGAGCTCCGGGTAAACCTTGTGGACCTCTGTCTCCAACCATGCCAGGGTAACCCTTGAATCCAGTAGGACCGGCTTCAGAAACTCCAGGCAAACCTCTCAAACCAGGTAATCCATCAACGCCCCATTCTCCTGGCTCGCCTTTGGTTCCGGTTAAACCTTGATAACCTGAAGAAAAAGTTATAGTCTTAATAAATTAATATATAATACATTGGAAGGGATCTATTTTATTTGGGGTTTTTCATCCGAACTAATTAAAATATTTAAGCTTCAGAAAGAGCTATTCGAATAATTTTTTCCTTGCCCAGTAAAGCTTCCTGCAGACCCATATTTAAAAACACAATATTCTAACTGTCCCATGCATTTTTCTGCTGGTAACATTATCTTTCATCAAAAACAATTCGAAACCTTTTGATATGGCTTCGTCCTCCTCAAACTACAACACTAGACACAAACTTATTAAGGCGCGCACATATATTAGGTTGTCCGCTTTTTTGTTCTTGGTTTATAATACAAAAAGGCGGAAGGGAGATATTTGACAACCTATTAAATTAGGTCTTTCAATACGATCGACGGTCTAGGTATTCAGCTTATGAATAAACTTCCACTCAACATCCGAAACTCAGACAGCAAAAAAATTTCATGCTTCCCTAGTTAATCTTTTTAAAAATTTAGCTTTTTATGACATTACTGAATTTTCTCAATTTGATTTCAATAACTATTTTCTTGCATAATCCTTATCCTTTATCTATGTAGTCTGACCATTTGATCGCCTGTACAACCATATTTTTTTTTAATTTTTTTTTTATTGCTATTTTATTAATTTAACATTTTTACGGTTTTAAATGAGTATAACTTTCAAGCTTGTGCAAGAATTTTGAGCTTGACTCGTGGTCAAATAGACTTTAATATGATAAACATTGTATTTAATGTTCGAATGCTTTTTTTCAGCTCTTTTTTTTCAGAAGCGAAATTCGTGCAGCTACTATGATTATTATAAAATTACTATCCTTTAAATATTAACTATGAATAAGCTTGACAAGAGCCTGAAATAATATCTATTATTATTGATTACGGCTTGCTTATGAATAAATAAATAAATAAACAAATAAAATTTATAATAGATCCATAGATTATATATTGGAATAGATATATTAACATTATTTCGAATTTGTTAAATAGATCGATTAAATTACCTCTATCTCCAGGTGCACCCTTAAGACCGACTTCTCCAGTGTACAAAGGCTGTGGTTGAGAATCTCCCTGTTCTCCTCTACGACCATCGTTACCAGGCTCACCAGGTAAACCACTAATAGAAATAAACATCATAAAGTTTACAAGGACTCATAAAGTATGAAATTTTAAAAGTAATAAGTGATTATCTTTCTTTACTCACGTCAAACCATCAGCTCCAGGGGCTCCGACAAGGGCATACAGAGGCACCCTGTCAGCATCGTCTCCTCTCTCACCATCTCTGCCATCCCAACCAGCAGTTCCATTGCGTCCAGGAGCTCCAGGTCTTCCATCCTCACCTGGTTCTCCTTTGAAACCGAAGGATCCAGGTCTACCTGCTGGTCCATCTGGACCAGGCTCACCACGGGGACCAACATCACCGGCCAAACCTAAAAGATAATAGATATATTTAAAAATAGAAAGATGACAAAATAACTGGAATGAAAGGACAAATATATTTTATCATCATTGTTTTTTATTTTACCTCTGTATCCAGGGTCTCCTCTCTCGTCCCTTCCTTGTTGTGATCCAGGATAAATCAATCGTCCTTTAACACCTTTCTCTCCAGGACGTCCAGTGGTTCCATTTCTTCCGGGCATACCTTGCAGACCTTTGGGACCTGGAGGGCCAGGACGACCGCCTTCGCCCTTGGGTCCTCTGGGACCAGGTAAACCTGGCCATCCTGGAGCACCTGGACGACCGTCTACACCGGAATCTCCTGGGGTACCTTTGACGCCTTTCTCACCTGAAGGGAAATGATAAATAGAGATTGGTAAATAAAATTAATTTAATATTTAATAGATGCGATGATAAAAATAGTATGAAACTACATATATATATAATTCTAATCTGACATCCCACATACTCAAAAAACATCCGGAAACAACAGGAAGTAAGATAACAAATCCTTTGTTCCGCGTGCATTTATATATGTGAGTATCTACATATTATGCATACATACATACATACACACACATATGCACTTATATATTTATAAGATACGCGACGATCGGCCGAGACGTTTCTTCATAATTATCAGATAAGTGCAAAAACTATCGTCAACATTTTAGCCAAAATCCTAAAGTAATCAAAAATTCAAAAAAATTCCTTTAGGAATTCAGAAATAATTTTCTGTAAGATATTAACGATTATTTTCAAAATAAATACAGTTGGAAATTGCCACAACTTTTCATAAGCCTATAATATTTTAAGATGTTTGTTTGAAAACGATTTTAAACTAAAAATGTTCAAACAGTTTTAGAATTTATAAAATCGGCACAAGATTTTTGTCGTAAAAATTATTAATTCATCAGCAAATTGGCAACATTTTATAAACTAGTGGTGTATGGCATCGTGCCTTAAGGCAAATTGCCTTAACTTCCCGTACCGTAATGAAATATTCGAGAAATTTTAAACACTTTCAAATATATTATTACAAATACTGTAACTTTCATTATTTTTGCTATCTTGTTTGTTATATCTGAGCAAATCAAATGTAAATCATAAATCAATTTATTTCCAGAACATTAACAACCGTCATTTCATTTCTAATTCAATTTCAAAAAAAAAAAATAGTTGCCTAGTTTACACAAAATTGAAAAAGTGCTCCAGTATATAAACAGTCTAAACGCACTTGGGTAAACATTTGCACCAGAGTGGCGCTTAGACTGTGCTTATCCTGGGTAATTTTTTGAATTTTTAATCCAAAATAAAAAAATATTTTTTGAAAAAAAAATTAGATACATTTTTTTTCCAAAAGCAATTATTTTGTTGAAACAAGCAGAAAGTTCTTTGAATCAATTAAATCGCACGCTTAGTTCTCTCAAAAACTGTCATTTTCTTAACATTTAGCTCTGTATCTCCTGAACCGCTGGTCCTACCTTTGCCAAAAACTAATAACCAATCATTACGAACTCAATGTTTTTTGTATCATACAAATCGCATGATCCATTCTCTCAAAAACTCGATTTCTATTTTCTGCACTTTTTGCTGCAGGAAAACCTAGAAAAAAAAAATATAATCAATAATAAACTAACTACTGTCTAATGTTTAATTAACTTAAATTAAATTACTGTCTTAATGTTCATTAAAATTTAGCTGAGTCAATGAAGGTTTTTTGCAGAAAGACAAAATTTAACAATGAAATATTAGGTTGTCAAATATCTCCCTTCCGCTTTTTTGCATTGCATTGCATACAAAAAGGCGGAAAGAAGATATTTGACAACCTAATATATTATTCTCTCGTTCTGAAATTTTTCTGCTTTTGGATAATATTGAACAAAGAATTAATATTAAAGGGCACAACTAGTGTAACCGCCTAAAAAAAGGTGATTTTTGGAAATTTATATAAAAAAAACGACTTTATCAATCATTTCAAAATTTTAGGAATATATTTATACATGTTTTAAGAATATGTAGTAAAATTTTTGAAGGAAAAAATTAAATTTTTTTTAAGTTATCGTCGATCTCCAACGGCGCGACAAAAAAAAGGCCCTTAACTGCTGCAGTGATTCCGGTCTTCTACGTGGATGAAATCAAAAAAAAAAAAAAATTCGTTAAACTAGATAATATTGTCTGTAAAATGAACTACGATAAAAAAAATAAATCAAAAATTGACAAATCCGCGGCGTTTTAAAAAAAAAAAGTCCAATTTTACCCAAAATTTTGGTCGTTTTTCGACTGCCAAAATTCGATTTTTTGATCAAAATTCGATTTTTTGATAGTTCATTTTACGGAGAACCATATAAAGAACATGTAAAAGAAATTTGATAGTGATTGGATCATTCGTTTTTGAGTAATCACTGCAGCAAATTCGAAAATTGCTGTTTCGAGAAAAACGCGTTTAAAGATAAAATGATCGTTGTACTATATACTATATATATACTTTTTAAATGGCTGTAACTCGAAAACTATTTGAGATATCGATTTGAAATTTTATGTTATTTTTAAAGGTGTAATCTACCAAAATACGAAAAAAAACAAAAATCGATTTTTTCATAATTTCACACTAGTTGTGCCCCTTAAAGAAAACAAAAGTTTCCAAAGACTTTAAACAAAAACCATTATTGACTCGTTTGATATAAGGATTATTAATTATCCTTTATCCTTTCTTACCTGGAAGTCCATCGAGTCCATCCAAGCCTTGTGGTCCAATCACAGTTTCTCCACGGTTGCCTTTAGGTCCTTGTGGTCCGACTGGTCCTTCGAAACCAGGAAGACCTTGTGAGCCTCTTGAACCTTGTGCACCATCTCGACCTCTTTCACCTTTCTGGGAAGTACCTTTTGGACCTGGTGCTCCAGGGAAACCTAAAGAATAAGTAAAAACACATTTTGTAATAAACAGGAGTTAAAAATATAATTCAAGGAATAGAATTTTTATATATTGCTATCGATGAAATATTTATAAGTATGATGTAATAGTGGAATGGAATTGTGATAAGTTTATTATTCCTTTACCTTTGGGTCCAGGAGGTCCAGTAGGTCCAATAGCACCAATAACACCTCTCAATCCAGGGACTCCAGCCATTCCAGGTTCTCCAGGATAACCAGGAAGACCTTGAGGACCAACGGGTCCCACGCTTATAGTGTCCAAGCGTGGGTCGTAGGGACCTGGAAGACCTATATCACCTTGGCGACCTGAAATATGTATAAAAATTTTATTATATCGCTTGAAACTTTTAAACGGTTTGTTTGATGTGTGTGAAATATTCTACAAATTTGTTTCAAATTAAATATTCTATGTTTTATTCTAATATTATGAGCCCTGCAACAACTCGGTATACTTTAAAAATGCCAGCAAAAGTACTAAATTAATCTGACTCCATTAACTTTTTTATATCTGTGTATTTATTTTTTTTTTATCTCTTGTAACTTTTAAATGACTTATCTGATGAAAATAAAATATTTTGCAAATTTGTTTGAAATTAAATAAGGTATAATATGCTTTTACAACTCGAATCCCTAATGCAACTCAATATACTCTAAATTTTCCATTAAAATAAGTAATTAATTCAAACTAAAACACTACTGGGCAACTCGTTTATATATCATTTATTTGTAAAATTTTTTGCAGCCCAACCGTCGAATTAAAAAAAGACCTTTTTTAGTAGAATCTTTTTTTAATTCGACGATTGGGCTGCAAAAAATTTTACAAATATGTATCAACGTCGACAAAACTTTCATCATATCATTTATTTATAATTTATGTTGTAACTTTTAAACGGTTTGTCTGATTTATATGGAATATTTTACAAATTTGTTCAAAATTGAATAATCTATAATTTTTTCTAATACAATAAAGCCCTACAGCAACTCGGTATACTTTAAAATAGCCATGAAAAGTACTAAATTAAACTAACTACATTGATTTTTATATCTGTGCATTTATTTCTTTATCTCTTGTAACTTTTGAACGATTCATCTAATATTAATGAGATATTCAACAAATTTGTTTAAAATTAAATAATCTACGATATTTCCTTACAATTCCAAACTCTACAACAACTCAGTATACTTTAAATATCTAATTAAAAATGAGTAATTAATTTAAGTACACTATATGTAGTCACAAATATTATATCGTTATTGTGCAACTACTGGACAACTCATTCATATACGCATTTATTATTTATAATTTATTTTGTAACTTTTGAACGGTTTGTCTGATTTATATGGAATATTCTACAAATTTGTTCAAAATTAAATAATACATAATTCGTTCTCACATTATAAAGCCCTACAGAAACACGGTATACTTTAAAATAGCCATCAAACGCGAGTATTTTAAACTGACTGCATTGAATTTTCATATCTGTGCATTTATTTCTTATATCTCTCGTAACTTTTGAACGATTCATCTAATGTTAATGAGATATTCAACAAATTTGTTTAAAATTAAATAATCTACGATATTTCTTTACAATTCCATACTCTACAACAACTCGGTATGCTTTAAAATTTTAATTAAAAATAATTAAAGTACACTAAATGTATTTAGTTGCATCGTTATTGTATATATGAAATAATCTACAAATTTGTTCAAAATTAAATAATACATAATTCGTTCTCACATTATAAAGCCATACAGCAACTCGGTGTACTTTAAAATAGCCATGAAGAGTACTAAATTAAACAAACTACATTGATTGTTATATCCGTGCATTTATTTATTGTATCCCTTGTAACTTTTGAACGATTTATCTGATATCAATAAAATATTCGACAAATTTGTTTAAAATTAAATAATCTACAATATTTCTTCACAATTCCATACTCTACAAAACTCAGTAAACTTCAAATACTTAATTAAAAATAAGCAATTAATTTAAGTACACAAAATGTATATTCACAACTATTGTACCGTTATCGTACAAATACTAGACAATTCGTTTATATGCATTTATTTATTATTTCTGATATAACATTTAAACAATTTGTTTAATTTGTCCGGAATATTTGACAAATTTGTTAAAAATTAAGTAATGTATAATTCGCTCTCACATTATAAAACCCTACAGAAACTCGGTATACTTTAAAATAGTCATCAAAAATAGTAATTAAAACTGACCTCATTGATTTTTTTTATATCTGTGCATTTATTTATCGTATCGCTTGTAACATTCAAACGATGCATCTGATGTCAATAAAATATTTGACAAATTTGTTCAAACTTAAATAATCTATATTATGTTTTTACAACTCGACGCCCTACATTAACTAGGTATACTCTAAAATTGTAATTAAAACTAAACAATTATTTTAAAAGAATATTCATAGATACAGCATATGGCGCAACGAAAGGACAACTCGTTTAAATGCATTTAATTATAATTTATTTTGTAACTTTTATTGTGTGATTTATATGAATTATTTGATGAATTTGTTCAAAATTAAATAATATATCATTCGTTATTACTCTATAAACCTCTAGAGAAACTCGGTATACTTGAAAATTACTAAAAAAAATTAAAATACCAATTTCACACACAATATGTTTATGCATTAGTTTATAATCTTGTAACTTTTAAACCATTCTACTAATATACATCAAATATTATACAAAGTTGTTTTAAACTAAATCATTTATAACATTCTTTCAAAACACAAACTCCTTGAACAACTCGGTATACTTCAAAATAGTAATTGAAACCAATATTAGCAGTTGTTACACCATTCAATTAATTTGAATGATTGAATGACAAACTTCTTGAATACTATATCTAAGTTGTTTCTAGAATTTGATCAAATATCCTTCCTACCTGGCAATCCAGGAAAACCTTCCTCTCCTCGACCACCTTTCTCGCCATCAAAACCATCTTTTCCAGCATAACCAGGAGCACCTTTGACACCTTTCTCACCAGGAAGTCCTTGCAAGCCTTGTCGTCCAATTTTGCCTCTTGGTCCTTCTGGACCCTCTGCTCCTTTTACACCGGCAAAACCTGGGAGACCAGCATCTCCCTAGGAAATAGAAAATAAAAATATTATATAATAATCTATTAAATCAATTTCAAATTATTATAATTTTTTTATAATTTAGTACTATTTAGTAGAATTTTTATTTTTATTAAGAGTTATATTTTCCTTTGTAACTAATTTATTTTATCAAAAGATTAAATTGAGGAAGTAAATAAAAATAATTTCTAGTAGTTGGAATTGATGATGATTTAAATATTATATTGGAATCTTTAGAAATGAATTTTGAGAGTTACCTTAGATGTAATATTTTTTCTTTCACAAATTTTAAAAGAGATTTAGATAACCAATTTTGATAGTTCAAATACATTCAAACAATAAATATATTTAGACAGATAATATACATTAGTATAAATTATTAGGAAATAAATGTTATAATTATAAGAAATCTATTAGGTTAATATTTAGGTATTTTCAATAAATATATTATGTATTAGGGAATAATCATTTAGTTCCTCCTAAACATATTCAACCCGAATGATATATATCTACTCGTATATGTAATCCCAAATTAAGAAAAAGTTATTTTTTGCTTTATACTTATCAATTTTAATTATTTCAATTTTGTCTTTAAATATTGCAAAATTTTAAAAAAAAATATTTTATTCATTTAATAAAACTACTTAGCCAAGACAGAAAAATATTACATATAAATCCAATAGCCATTTAAAGATCCAAGAAAAGCTTTCGGAATTCATTATTAAAAGAAATATAAAGTCAGTAAGCCTGATTTGATATTTGATGAATGAAGACAAAGATATTTTCCTAATTTACCTTAAATCCTTTATCTCCTCTCATTCCTGGTCGTCCAACAAGAACCCTTGCGTCTTCACCAGGTTCACCTTTGGTGGCTTCGATGATATCAGGAGTTTCCAGTGGATGTCTACAAAAGTAAAAAATGATAGTTTATAGTCTAAATTTATAAACCAGGAAGCTAACTAACTATGTTGTAATTGTCTTGAGATTAAAACTTGATATTTGGACAGACATGGTGTATGTCCTAAGGGATCATTTTTTTGAAATCGGTGCAGCCTTTTAGGGAAAACGTTGACAAAAGGTCAAATTTTAGCTCATACAAACATAAACAAATAATTTCTTATTCTAATATTGTATTTTATGGCGAAAACATAAACCTCTATTATAAAAATATATTATTAGATCCTAAAAATACATCAAGAAATTAAACACTAAAATTTATAAAAATTATGAGAAATTAAATAAAATGTATAACAATTTAAATAAATATTTTAAATCCTAAAACATATATATGTGGGTAAAATGTCTTATAATATATACTATGTGATAAAAAATAATTAAATTTTTATTTTTTCATAATTGAATTAATAAAAAATTAATCATAGTGAATTATAATAAATTTTAATAATTTCAATAATATATATTCAACGATCAACCAAGATAAAAACTCGAGTTCTAAGTTTGATATTTGTCTTAATTTAATGTCTCAAGTTAGAATTACTAATTTTCTATCCTACTAAATACTAAAATATCCAAAAAAATAATTTTATTTTTGACTTACACTACGGATCTGCCACCTTTTTCTCCTTTTCTACCTTTGGCACCTCTTGGTACTGGTCTGGCTGGTTCACCACGTTCACCACGTTGTCCTGGAATTCCTGGGAGTCCATCTGGACCCTAAAAATAATAAATAACATTATTGATAAAATGTCTTAGATAATTGATAAAATCTTAGACATTGATAAAATGTTCTTAGTCATATTGTCCCTCTGATAATGGTCAAACATTTTTGGTGCTACAATATTATTTGTCCCTTTTGTAACAGGTGTTTGAAAAAACATTGTTTAATATGGTAATTGCCATGTCAGTCATATGTTACTGACACCAAAAAGTTTTGCAGGAGCCATGTCAAATATATATGTTTTACATACACGATTTCTTAGTAGAAAAAAACTTTAGTATAGGACTAGGGAATGCAATACCGGTATACCGAATTACCGGTAAACCGCCCGATTTTTCGGCGGTATTTTTACCGGTATTTATTCCAAAAATACCGGTATTTTCGGTATTTTTACATAAACGCTATTTGATACATAATACACTAAAGTTTAAATTTCTCTGAACAAATTTATCTTTAAATTCCATAATCGCATAAACAGCTATATCTTCAAGTGATTCTATAGGATAAACAAATGTCAAATATTATCTCAACTCGTCATTAAACTAAATAGTTATTGCTTTACTAAGGGCTACATATCGTGTTACAATAAATAGAATTGGACTAATAGATTATGATGTTTGTTTCATCTTTTGTAAAAATGTAACTGTTTTTAAGTGATATTTGCGCCAAAATATTTTATATCATACAGATTACCCCTGCCGTAATCTTTATTTTTTTCTAACTTTCTACATAATAATTATGATAATTACTAAATATTTTTTGCTTCTTATTACAATTATAAAATATTAATTTTCGAAAACGTTTCGAAGTCTGAAAATATTATAGAAGCATCACATTGTTTTAAATAACAATACTCAACAATTATAGTAACTTATTATTTATCTCTGCAAAGTATCCGATCTTAAATTATATATCTGTAGAAAAATTATTTTTTTAAAATATTCGAGATTATGCTAATTTAACACATCGGATACAGACAATACAGTTTATTATAATAATGTAATATGATCTTTTATGAGTTTTTGGTCTTTCTTACTCATAAGTTTGTTTTTGGTGAAAAGTACTCAATATACTCGATAGTGATAATGAATTAATTAAATAGGATATACTTTTGTTAAATTATAATTTAAAAAAATAAACTTATTGTTTTATTTTATTGTTTTTATAGTTATATTAGTTTAATATATCAACTATTAATATAGTTGCAGTTGTATAGACTTTTTTTATATTTGTACTAGTAACTTTCAATTTTGTTTACGTTTGTTTAAGATAATAAAAATACCGGTAATTTACCGGTATTCCGGTTTTAAAATGAAAAAATACCGAAATACAAGTATTAAAATTTTCCATCGGTATTGCATTCTCTAGTAATTATCATGTCAATCATATGTGACTGACACTAAGAAGTTACACATAAGTCATGTTCAACATATATTAAGAAAAGTTTTAATATAGGGCCATGTCAGTCATATATGTGTGACATAAAAAATAATGTCGTGGAATTTGGCAAAAGTTTCCTTATTACCCAAATTATCTAATAAAGTTACCATAGCCCATGTAAAAATTTTCCTGATCTTATCGTGGCAATCAACGTGTCAACAAAAAAAATTAATACTAATACAATTTCTGATCATATATTCCATGTCCCCTTATTACCTGGTCTCCCATAAGTCCTCTAGCCCCCCTATCACCATCGAACCCTCTCTCGCCCCATCCACCAGGACCTCCGTCTCTGCCTCTGTCACCACGGTCACCCTTGGTTCCTTCGGAGTTGACACCGCCTTCACCGGGGGCACCTTGTTCTCCTGGAGGCCCGAAGTCTCCGGGAAGACCTCGGCCGCCCATCAGACCGGGAATACCAGGAAGACCGGGTGATCCGTCGGTTCCGTTGCAGCCGTCCAGGCCGCGGGGGCCACGGACTCCTTGTTCTCCTGGGTAACCCTGGGGTAAAAGATAAAGGAAAATTGTACACTAAGTAAGGTGCCCAGAACTCAACGTCAACCCCAAATGGGGTGATAGTATTGATTGTAACAAAAGAATTATGAGCTTTTAAGTGCAACCTAGTGCTTTATTGTAATTTTGACATTGTGGTTAATTTTTATTACTTTTCAACGTCAAAAGCCAAAATGGGGTGACAGTATTGATTGTAACTATCATGAAAAATTGGAGGCAACGCAGGAAAAATATTAGAAAATTATGAGCTTGTAAGTGCAATCTAGTGCTTTGTTGTAATTTTGATAATTTTATGGTTATTGTGGTTAATGTTTATTACTTTTATTAATTTAAACTTTGAAACAGTAACCGTGAATAACATTTCTAGATTCACAGTCAAAAATAATGAAAAATTGCTCCAAGTTTTCAAAAATAAAAACTATTTGTTAAACTATGAATTTAAAATTTTCAAAACTGGTCTACCTCCTTTAAAAAAATTTACTAAATAGAGCTAATAACAATATTTTAAAATAAAAAGTAGTGTGTAATTAAAATCGTCGCACATAAATAAAAATTTATATATTTTAATTATATAAATAGATTTAATAATAATATAATAAAATTTAAAAATGTATTTAATTTTTCTACAGTGTAGCTCTGTGAGGAAAACATATGGAATTAAAAAAATTATGTATAGTATTTTATTTTCAAGAATTTGTTAATAAACACACACATATATATATATATATATATATATATATATATAAAAAAAAATAATACTCACAGGAATACCGGGAGATCCTTCATAACCTCTCGGTCCATCGTCACCCTGAAAATTAATATAAAATATTAATAAATAGCAAAAATATTGATAACTTATATAAACAAAATTTTTAGATAATTTTATCTAGGTAATAAATATCCGAACAAACTTTAAAAATAAATATTTAGATAAAAGTTATATAGAAAAATTTGTGAAAAAATCCATTTATAAAAGCTTTAGGTAATTTTACTTGTTTTTAAAATGTTTAAAGAGTTTTTCAAATACTCATCCATAAAAATAATATTTCGAAAACCACAAAGTGCTCAAAGTATTTTTTGCAAATATTATCCTCTGTTAAGTTAAAAATTATTGTACTATTAAAAATAAAAAATAAAATGTTTGAAGCTACAAAAGATACTCTGAAACGATTTTTTTTTTAAATTTGTAATTTGTAATTTTCATATAAAAATAGTCAAAAAATATCTATCTAGTATTAAAAATTAAGAATATTTCTTAAAAAATAATTTATCACCAACTTTCCTCAAGAAAACTTGATGTTTTCGTAAAAAAATTGGATTTTCTAATTTTGTTCTCTCGACGTTACAAGTCATTCTGAATAGTATGTATACGCGAGCCAAAATTTTATCTTTTAAAAACGACAGAACCGTATTTAAAAAATTTAAAAGCCAACTTGTCTTCAGGCAAAATGACACTTATATCTAGACTCTTTATTTGTTCATAATAAAATCATAATCAATATTAAAAAATATTATATCAAAATTATAAAAAAAATATTTATATACAAGCCAAAAGTTGGAATTGGGAAATCGTTTTTATTAATGCTCGAGCAAAGAGTTTTGCTTCAGCACAAAAAAAATACAAAAAACATAAAAAAATATTGACAAACAAATTTTAGTAATTTAAAATAGTTTACAAACATATAACTTTGAAAAATCTCCAAAAGCTTCTTTTTATATTCAGTTTCGGTCAATTTGCGACCTTGTAGTAATTTGGCGTAATACATTGTAAAATGAATAAATTTTATTAATGTTAGATGAAAGTTTAGTTTTTCACAATTTAATATGATTTAAAAATAGGGAAACAATAATTCAAGAAATTGATCTAAATAAGAGTTACATTTGAAAAAATGCAAAAAAAATATTATTTAAATTTATTTATAATAAATGATAATAAATAACATTTTTGACTCTTCAAACCTGGTAAGTTTATATATACTAGTAAATAATTATAAATGTATATATATATAATGTGTATATATAAATATATAACATAATAGTCTATATATTTATATTAATATCGTCGGAACGTAAAGTTCATTAGACTTTCAAAGAAATCTGTTCTGTGTACAATATTGAATGCATCGCACTGACTCCTCTCATCATCGTATTATATTATATTAGTGTTTGTGTCGTGTTCCCATGTATCGACATCGACACTAAAACACTAAAAAACATTCGATGTGTATGAAACGAGCACTAAATATTTCGTTATAAAACATTACTGATAATATACAATGGCGCAATATCACAGGCAGACATTAAAATAAGTAATAAACCTCTAAATGGGGTACACAAGAGCAGACGATTGTAGTATTACTAGGATAAAGGATGGTAAATGTTGGATGTTGGCATTTTGAGGTTTTATAATTGAGGTCCTTAATGTTGTTCAGCAAAGGTTGTTCAAAAAATTGATACCCTTCAAGAAGTTACAAGAACCAACCCTTTATCAATCCCAGTGGACCAAGCTTCATTTATCACGATGACTAAATTATCCTTTTCTTTCTGATAAAAATTATGAAAATAAATATTACGCAATCAGCACGATTTTTATTTAAATCTTTGCCTTTGATGTGTGTGTGTTTTACATAAATTATTTTATTTTGCCAGGAAGAGTGCTGAGGTCATACGTCCAGTTATCATTCGTTCGTTCTTTATCTAGTAGATAGAATATCCTGCCGAAGAGATCACCAGCGAAGGACCTTGTCGCTTGATTTTGCACAAAAAAATCATACCAGGGGCGGACAAAGTTGATGGAATCGAAATAATGGACAGTGTTTGGTCAACAGACAGAACAAAACCGTATTAAAATACCTCACAATTATTTAGGCAACAGGCAGGGAAAAGAGGACATCATTTACTAAAATGAAGATGGTCAAAACCAGTATTTATCTGGTATAAAATTAGAAACAATATGGTAGACAGTTAAATATGTTAAAGGGTAAGGGAATCATTTATCAGTATTTGGTGAACAGGCAGAAATCATGGGAAAAAGATATCATCTATAATAATGATGGTCAAAACCACTCTCAAATCTACCTCAAAAAGGAATGCAGTTGTCGAACATTTTTTTCCAACTTTTTTTTATAATATCTAAAATGGTTGCAGACTCGTCTTAAATCGATTGTCTATGATCGTTACAGACTAAAAATAAAAATGTTGTAACCAAAATTCTATTTTTATTATTATTTGTATAACAATGCCCCAGTTTAAACCTTTTTAACTTCCCGTAGGGCAAGTTATAGTAATCGCAAAAAAATCGAAAATGAATTTTTTTATATATCTTTATGTTTCAAAACCTTCTGAACATTTTGACATTCCTTAGAAAAAATTGATGTATGTGTGTGTGTGTTCGGATACAAATTTTCGTCGACGATTTCGGGAACACGAATGAAGCGATTTGAATAATTCGAAAAACATTCGATTAGTATTGATAAGGGGACGTGCTGATTAGTTTTTGGCAAAGGCAGGTCTAGCCGTTCCGAAGATATGGGACAAAAAGTGCCAAAAACGGTAACTCAGTTTTTAAAAAAACGGTGCGTCCGATTTGAATAATTTAAAAAACATTTTATTTGTATTGACTAAATGAAGAACTGTTTAATTTTTTGGAAATGAAGGTGACTGGCTTTGATTTGGCGGTCAAAAATGAACATTAGACATATGCACATCAAATTATCAGATATATTATAGAGATTTTAACAATAAGTATAAATTTTGTTTATATTCCTATGGGTTCCGTACCAATATTTATCCGTTAGACGGCGACTCGGCGCTTACGCGCTCCGATATTTCGTCTCTATTTCGACGAGTTCAGAATTTCTAAAATATTTCAAAATAAATTTTTCTTTAAAGTCTTTTTTTCAAAAAAAAAGTAAATTTTTGTCAAAAATTTATAGTTTCTCATAGATCTATGTCTTCTTAGTAAATTTGTATTAAAAATGTTAGCTTTTAAAAAAAAATAATAATTTTTGGTACGGAAAGTTCCAGCAATTTGCCTTAAGGCACGATGCCATGCGCCCCACTAGTTAGTGTCTTTTTTCAAGTGTAGATGTTACTTGCTTGTCAGTAGAGTCCTTTTATACTTGTTCTGGATATTCTAGGTTAGGGGGCGTCCAGTAATCGCGGGGAGGGTTTGACCAAAAATCACGAAATATCACGTTGGAGAGGGGGAGTGCAATTTTGAATATCACCAAATATCACCAAGGGGGGAGAAGGGGTAAAAAATCCATAAAAAATCGATCACGTGATTAATGGAAGTCCCCCTTAAGACAGCAATTGGTTCTCCAGTATGTGACAAAAAGCTTTTCACTGAATTTTGGTCTGAAATCGTGCTAACTTGGAAAATTTTAGGATAGACACACAGGATAACGGATCGAGGTATGAAAAGATCAAACTTTAGCCAGTTGGAATCGGAATAAAAATAAAATCCAATGAAATCTTTCATGGAGTTCTTACAATCTAACAGGAATAACAAAATGAGCATTCTAAAAATTGTACAGTACTAAATTATCCTGCACAACTAAATCAATTTTCGACATGATTTCAAACGAAAAATCAGTGAAAACTGGAGTTGATATACTGGATAACCAATTGGTGTCCCAATCTAGAATACCCAGGACTGGTATAAAAGGACTCTACTGACAAGCAAGTAACATCTACAATTGACTGCAAAGGGATAAGATGTGGCATTGGTATACATATATTGAATATAAGATTTAGGTACCACATTTTATTTAATTACTAACGATTACAAGCAGTGTGCAACGATTATAGATAATGCACAACGATTTCAAGCAATTTACAACCATTTCAGACAATTTACAATGATTTAAGACACTCTTTGATGATTTTAGACAATACAGAAAAAAAATAGAAAAAATGTTTGACCACAGAGAAACTAAACTCATCTTTAAGCCAACTAAATGTCTATAAGGACTCTACTGACGAGCAAATTAAATCTGTACTCGACCTAACAAAGAAATTAAGAAAATTTTATATCTGTAACAGAACTCGTTCCAATTTTGAGCCAATTAGAAATCTAGAAAGCAAATTAAATCTAATCTAGATTTGAGGAAGAAACTAAAAGTAACAAAGAAAAATTATTCTTTTCTTACCAAATGGACCAGGTTAATAAAGGAGTAAATTGCGTGGTAATAAAAGTAGTAAAGGACCTAAATTGGCCCTACTTTTAAACCAGCTATAAGTCTAAAGGGATTCTACTGGCAAGCTTACTAATCTATATCTACATCTTTGATTTGATTCTAAAAATCAGATGCTGGTTGATAAAAGAAGCAGATTGTATGACAACAATGAAAATAAGGGATCAAAGTTGGATCCAATTCTAAGCCATCTAAAACTTTTAAGGGATTTTATTGACAAGCAAATTACATTCACACCTGCAACAATACCAGCGACCTGATATCCTTAAAAATAAGGATCTGGTTAATTAATGGTCTAATTTTTAACCAACTGGTGACCTGGAATTATAAAACATAAGAATCTGGGTAATGAATGAGAAATAAGTTTGACAATAAAAAAACAAAGGGATCTAAATTGAATCCGAATATCCACCAAACTACAAGTTAAAAGGACAGTATTGACAAGCAAATTACATCTATATCTTCCTTCATCTATATCAAATTTGAGACTTGGTTTCAAAAATAAAATTCGAGTTAATGAAGAAGACAAAACGAGTACCGAAAAAAAAATTACTGGATCCAATTTTGCAAAGAATTGTCTCCTGCACCTGTTCTTTGACATCAGTGCGAA